GATAGGCAGGAGGCTACCTGTGTATATGAAGAACTTAAAAGCAACCAATCTTCTCCCCACTCCATTTATGAATGCTGACCCCATGTCTGGCCCAGGCTTTGAGCTTTATAGCTTCATGATAAAGCTTGCCAGGATTTCAGATTTTCACACACAAAAACAGATTTTAAGAAACTAAATAATTTTTCCACAACCACACAACTAGTGCATAGTGGCATGGAAATTCAAGTCCAGGTTTGTGTGATTCCAAAGAAGGGTTTCTTGATCACCACTTCATATTGTTTTTCTAGAAATCCCTCATCATTTGCAGAGACCTACATACCCTATGCATACTTCTATCCAGGTTCTAACATTGGAAATGTGAGTAGGCTGATTTCCTGTAGAATAAATAGAAAGTAAAGATAGAAAATAAAGTCACAATAGCTAAAACTGTGGAAGTGATACAGTTATCCATTGAGGAATAATTGGATAAATTGTGGTGTATACATGCAATGGAATATTATTCTGTCTTAAAAAAGAAAATTCTGATACATGCTACAACATGGATAACTTTGGGGACATTATGCTATGTGAAATAAACCAGCCACAAAAAGACAAATACTTTATGATTCCCTTTATATGAAAAATCTAGAATAGTCAAATTCAATACAGACAGGTGGTTTCCAGGGGTTACAGGGAGGTAAAGACAGAATAATCTAATGGGTATAGAGTTTTAGTTTTGGAAGATGAAAGGAGTTCTGGAGATTGGGTGCACAGTAATGTGAATGTACTGTCACAAACTACATAAAAGTGTTTCAGTTGGCAACAAACTGCATATACAAAGGTGATCGCATAAGATTATAATACCATATTTACACTGTGCCTTTTCTGTAGAAATGCTTTTCTTTAGACATGCTTAGATACACAGATGCTATTGTGTTACAGTTGCCTACAGTATTCAGTATAGCGACATGCTGTGGAGGTTTGCAGCCTAGGAGCAGTAGACCATCCCATCTAGCGTAGGTGTATAGTAGGCTATACCATCTAGACTTGTGTAAGTGTACTCTGAGGTTCACACAATGATGAAATCACCTAACAACACATATCCCCATGTTATGACATATGACTGTACTTAAGATTGCCGGACTCTACACTTCAAGATGGTTAATATGGTGAGCCAGGCATGATGGCTCACGCTTGTAATCCTAGTACTTTGGGAGGCCGAGGCAGGCAGATCACTTGAGGCCAGGAGTTTGAGACCAGCCGGGCCAAAATGGTGAAGCCCCCTCTCTGCTAAAAATACAAAAATTAGCTGGACATGGTGGCACATGCCTGTAGTCCCAACCACTTAGGAGGCTGAGGCAGGAGAATCGCTTGAACCCAGGAGGTGGAGGTTGCAGCGAGACAAGATCGCAGAGCCTGGGTGACAGAGTGAGACCTTGTCTCAAAAAAAGAAAAGTGAATATGATACATGTCATGTGTATTTTATAAGTAAAAATGTTTAAGGAAAAAAAAGGAAAAAAATTTTTAAATCATGCATGATTTCATCTAGAAATAACCACTGTTTAAAAAAATCATCATGTATAATCTTTTAGACATGTTCTATGTAAATGACACGTGGGAGTCTTTATATATTTGCACATAATGGGATCACATGATACATAGAATTTGGTAGCCCATTTATTTCCCATTATTTAGTATATCAGAGACTTATTTCCAGGTTGGCAAATACACATTCACATTATCATTAAAGACAGTATAGTAGTCCCCATTAATCAATATCCAGGATGTGCAGCATGGCTCACAATTATAAATAACATCATAATCAACACAGTTGAGCTCAGCCCCCTCATCCGATTATTACCTTGAGATGCAGTCCCAAATTGGAATGCTTTGTTGAAGATTTTGTCTTTTGCGAGCCTCTTGACACCCTCTTCAGATGGCCCTCTAAAAAAGGTTGTACCACATTATATTCTTTCCAAGAGTTGTCCTTCTGCCTGGACCCTCACCCTTTCGTGCTTGATGTCAGCCTTACAATGTATCAGTGGTAAGATCCCAGCCAAAGGGGCCTCATTTGTCCCAGATGAATATGGTGCTTATTCCATAGGCTGAGGAAGAAGTAAATGATGGAATTCTCATACATGGCTGACAGCATCTAGCAGGGGCTCAGTATGCCTTCACTGTGCTGTCATTACCTTCTCCTCATTCCCCAGGAATCAGAGCTTTTCAAGAGCAAGAACACCACACCCAGCTCTGGTGCAACCTGGTGTCTGTTGAACCAGTGTAAGCAGATCAGAACAGAGCAAGAGATGTGTGAGTGTTTGTGGAAAGCCTTAGAAAGAGAATTAAGAGAAAAGCTTGTTTCCTGGATCTGAGGGAAATGGAAATAAGAAGCATAGTCTGAGGATAAATGGACATCTGTGCCTTGCTCACTTTTACTTTCAGGTGTGTAAGCCTTTTAATCCTGCTTTTAAATAATTTTACATTTGCAACAAAAGGCACCTGACTGGGCAGGCTAGCAAGTGTCCCCAAAGTGGGCACAGAGGGTTCATTATTCCCAACTCCCTTATGAGGCCAGCCAGCCTGTGTCACTGCAATAGTGGGTCTTTCCTGATCAATCTGAAATAAGAAATGGGCCCAGCATGGACATTCATGGGCAAACTCTTTTCCTCTGACAATGAAAGTCAGGATCTGAGCAGACCTGCCGTGCGAATCCATCTGGGAAAGGCAGCTAGTGGAATTCGCAAGCAGCCAGCCAGATATTCTGAGGGACTTTCGCCCGAGGCTCTGAGGATCATGCTGCAGGTGGGGTTGGGGATTGTGGGGTGCCAGGCTTGGCACAGCATCCCAGTACCCTCTCAGGAAAGCTGTCCTTTCAATCATCTCTCTCTCTCTAAAAGCATTTGATTTCATGGAGCTTCTTTTCATCCAAAAACCATCCTGGAGTTACTGGCTCTGGGATACAGACTTGGCAATCGCAGTCAGGAGGGAACTCATCTGTGCTTATTTAATGGGATTTTTTGTTCTACAGAGACCCAGAGACTTCCAGAGGCAGTGATGGCAGGAGGCAGGGTAAGGCTTGAAGAACTTAAGAGATTAGCACTTTTCAGAAGTTCCAACATTTAATGAATAGAGGCACTGAGGTCTAGAGAGAAGGAGCTTAGCCAAAGACAGACAATAATTAGCCTGGATTTTAAGTGTCTCCCTCCTTTCCCTCCTTCCTTTCCTTCTTACCTAGCACTTTGGTCTCTTTGCATGTCAGGCATTGTGCCAAATGCTTTCCTCCATTAATCTTTCCAACCACCCATGCAGTAGGTTTTATTATTAGTGCCCTTTCACAGATGAGGAATGTGAGGTTCAGAGAAGCAAAATTATATGCCCAAGGTCTCAGAACTAGTACATTGTAAAATTATTTCCTTTCTCTCCCTAGAGGCTCTATAGCCTTGATGGCAGGGGAGCAGTTTCTTATCCTCACGAAGAATCCTGAGGAAACAGTCCTCTTCAAGAAAGCAAAGTCAGCAGTCAGTCAGCCTGGGCATCACAGAGCCAAGTACAGGTCAGGAAGTCCTGCCTCATGGGCATCAGCCAGCCATGGGCAGACCTGCTTGGCTTCATAGCACAGTCCTTCTTGCAGCCCCAGCAGGAGTCTCACATATAATTATTGAAGGGCTCATGGGAACCCAGAGAGCAGGCAGCAGAGCATGAGATTGACACCAGGGACTCTGGAATCAAATCAAATTCCAACTGGGCCACTCTGGAGCAATATCTTGGCATATGTTTTATAATATCTCTGATTTTTGTTTTCTTTATCTCCAAATGAGAATCATAACAGAACTTAGCTTATAGGTTCATGAGAGAATTTAAAAGTGATCTATGCTAAAATAACATGCATGGTGAACTTTGAAGGGATTCTACAAATGGTAATTTCTTCTAACATTATCATCATTATCATCATCATCATCAACAACAACATCACCATAACAATCATCATCACCATCCTCATCATGAAAGACCATGTAGCAATGAGCCTTTGACATATTAACACCATTAGGAAATCATACAGGCCTGCAGCCTAGGGGCCAGGATGGCATCTCTGCAATGTTGTTGGCCTGTATTGGTGGCAGACCCTTGTACCAACAAAGAAGGCCTCACAGAAAATTTTTCATATATATTTCTTTATCCTTTTCAGCTAGAACAATTTCTGAGTCATTGTAGCTACTTATATTAAATATTTTCTGATTAATTGGATGAATGAATGAGTGAATAAATAAATGAAAGAACTGACTACTCTCTGGTGTAGTTCAAAGGTCATTTTGCTCTACTAACTACTTTTGGAACAGGAAATGACAAACTACTCAAGAACAGCCTGAGATTCAAATCTGCAAACCCAAATACCCGAATAATATGAATACTTAATAAATAGTAATCATTGCAATGTGTTGCAAGCTATGCCTATGTATTGATGGTATAGTAAGCTCTTAATGTGAATTACCTCATGATATTCAACAACTGTGAGGTAGGCATTATTATTATTATCACCCTTTTACAGATGGGGAAAATGAGGTTTGGTGAGGGCAAGCAGCAGTTCAAGATCATGTAGCCAAAGCAGCAGCAGATCCTGGATTGGTGCCTAGGTCTGTCTAATTCCAGGGCCTGTGCTTTAAAGTACTACCGTCTTTAACCTCCCCCAGTCTTCACTAAGGATCAAATGAAATCCTAACCTCACCTTCACTCTTTTCAGAGCAAAAAGATACATTTTGGGAAAGATAACCATGTAATATTAGGTATCCATGGATAAATGGAGAGTCAAACGAAGATAATTTTTCAGTCTTCTAACATCTATAGCACCTCCTCCCTGGCCAATTACAGGCCACCCTTGGCATGCACGGCACACCTTTGCTACCTGCACCAGCTCACTTATCAGTGTTTGTCTGTTCAGTGTCCCATTTGCTCCAATTTCCTCTGTACCTAGTTCTCCCAAGCAACCAGTTTGAGCTAAGTCATCAGAAGCGTTTTTTTTCCAGACAATTCATCCTATCTCTGGTGCTCATTATGAGAAGGAAGACCAGACCTGAGGCCCAGGGCTCCCAGCTTCCCACCCGTATTTTAAATGGAAGAGCCTAGCTTCTAACTGATCTTGGTCTACCAGTCTAGTTCCTGCACTACGTTTGGACAAAGGGTTTTGTGAAGCAAATAAACAAGTAAATAAATAAACTTTAAAACTGCTGGTTTAATGTAATCCACAACTCAGTCATAGAAAAAATACTTTTTGGTACCTGCTTTATGCTTTTTCTCAATATTGAGGATTTCAAGGCAAGGTAAGTCCTTGCCCTCATGGCTCTCATATTCAAGTAGAGAGACAGGAATTAAACTAGCAAACAAGTTGATATAGAGATAAATGAGAACAACAATAGTATAAGTTAAACAGAGAGTTAAAATCAGGCAAGATACCTTACATGGTACAGCTGAATGATGGCCTTCAAAAGGATATTTAAGTTCTGACCCCTGGAACCTGTGCATATTACCTTATATGGCAGCAAGATATAATTAAGAATCTTGGAAGAAGGAGACTATCCCAGATTGTGCTGGTGAGCCTTAAATGCAATCACATGCATCCTTTTAAGACAGGAGCAGATCTGGGAGCTCACATCAGCAAGATGGCCACTAGAGTTACCTGGCATTCGTCCTCCCCACAAAAAGGGACAAAGACAATAAATAAACAACTGTAGTTTGACCAGAGTGACTGAGGAAGTATATTGGAGAGCACCAAAGGAGTGGGAAAATCCTAGTGGAGCATGGACTCCCAAAATAGCACCATAGAAAAAGGAGCGAATTATCTTGCATCTACCACATTGTCTCCCCCATTGGGATCAGTGTGGAGACATGGGGGATTTCTTCTTTCAGGGAAAAGGTAAGCTGGAGACCTCTAGCAGTTCTCATAGCCACTACAGATGCCAGTGGTCTTTGCTATAGGAGCATCCCCAGTCTTCATGGGCTCTGAATCCAGTTAACAAAGTTGCTAGGAGTTCATGCAGATGCATTGCCCCAGAGTAGGAGCCTAGGTGATGCACCACCCCCCACCAACCCCATGAGCTAGGCTGCTGCAGCGTGGTGCCATCTTGAAACCAGACCCACTGCCACAATGTGTTCTGACCTGGGTGCCAGCACTGCTGCTGTCTCCATTCTTGAGACCTTGCCATCATTTCATCATATTCATACCAGTGCCTACACCACCATGATCCTGTTTATGTGAAGCCTAGGCCTAATGGAATGGCCAAGATCCTGGTGTCCAAACCTATGTGATGCAATCACCCCTGAAAAACTGGCAGATCTGTACAATGGGGAAGCTACTGAACAGCTGGCCGTCCTGCCCTGCCCATGTGTTCCTGTGCCAAGCCTGACAGCCATCTCAGTGGTGGTCACACCTCCCCAGAGACATTGCTGCACAGCCAGCCTGCCTGCTAGCCATGTCTAAACATGCCTGACTTGAAAACCAAACCAGTACCCCTGCCCTCAGTAAGACCATGCCATTGCCATCACAAACTTCCACAGCCTTTGGCACTGAAGCAATCACAGACATTGCTGTTGAAGATTACAGCTAAAGAAACTACACGAAGACCATACTACTGAGCTACTCAGAGCCAAAGCCCATGTTCCATACCTGAGAACCTATCTACAGAAAAAAGTCTCTCTCTATAAAAATTACCCCATAAAATTAGAAAAAGCTAGTTTTCCACAAGATGTGCAGACATCAATGTAGGGATATAAGAAACATTAAACAGCAAGGAAACATGATATCGCCAAAGAAATACAATAAATCTTCAGTAGCAGATGCCAAAGAAAATAATATTTACAAAATGCCTCATAAAAAAACTCAAAATAATGATCTTCAGAAAACTCAGTGAGATACAAACAAATATAAATAAATTCAATGAAATAAAAATTATGATTTGAATAAGAAATGCAACAAAGAGATAAGAAAGAACCAAACAGAAATATTGGAGCTGAAGAATTCAATGAATTAAATAAATAATACAATTAAGAACTTTAATGTAAGACTAGATCCATCAGAAGAAAGACTTCCTGAACTTAAAGACAGGTCTTTTGAAGCAAACTAGTCAGAGGAGAATTAGGAAATAAGAATTTAAAAAACAAAGAAAGCATACAGGACTTATGGGACACTATTAAGCAAACATATACTTACATTATGAGGGTGTCAGAGGGAGATTGGATCAAGAAAAGCCAAAAACCTGTTTAACAAAATAATAGCTGAAAATTTACCAGTCTTAAGAGAGATATGAACATCCAGGTCCAGCAGGATCAAAAATCTCCAATTATATTTAATAAAAAAAAATTTAAAACTCTCTAAGGCATATTATAATTAATTTTTCAAAAGTCAAAGTCAGAGAATCCTGAAAGCTACAAAAGGAAACCATCAAGCTACATAGAAGGGAATCTCTATTAGATTAACAGCAGATTTTTCAGCAGAAACTTTGCAGGCCAGGAGAGAATGGAATGATATAGTCAAAGTGCTGAAAGAGTGTAGCACTGCTGACATTTTGGGATCTCATTTCTGGTCTCTAGCATCGTAAGAGAATAAATTTCTTTGTATAAGCCACCCATCTTGTGGTAATTTGTTATAGCAGCACCAGGAAACTAATACACATGACTACTTTAGACTAAATGGTCAGGAAAACCTTTTCAGATGCAGTAATGCTGAAGCTGATACATGAATGATAAGAGGGAACCTCCTTATGAAGATCCAGGGTAAGAATACTGCAGGCAGAGGGAACAGACAGTGCAAAGACACTGAGGCAGAAACAAACTTGGCTTGTCTAAGAAGGAAAATTAGTGGAGTAAGAATATAATGTGAAAGGAAGAGACTTATGGGAGATTGAAGTCAAAGGTACAAGAAAGAAAAATATGTAAAATTTCAAAAAGCCAGGGTAAGGAGTTTAGATTTTTTCTAAGTATGAGGGGGTACCATTACAGGATTTATAGAAGAAGTTGATGTATATACTTTACATTTTTTTAAACGTACTCTGGCTGCTCTGTGGAGTTTGGACTGAGAGGGGCATAAATTCTGTAGCGAGGTCAGTAAGGCTGTTATAATAGGGTCCAGGTAGAAGATGTTCCTGATTTGCACTAAAGTCGTGGTTGAAGAGAAAGAGAAGAGATAGTAGATGGTTTTGGAATAGATCATGGAGGAAACTCAATGGGAATTGTTTCTGGGTTTGATGTGGTTTTGTGGGTAAGTGAAAGAAAATTTGGCCTGATCCACTGGAAAGATAATAGTGCTATTCACTTGAATGAGGAAGGAATATGTTGGGAAAGAAAACCAAGAAAGCTTTTCTTAGCCATATTAAGTTTGAGATACATATGGACTTCCAAATCTAGGCTTAAGGGATACATCTAGATTTGGAAATACAGAATGTGAAAGCTATTGACATATAGATATTTAAAGTACAGGACTTGGTGAGATCACTAGGGGGATGGGAGGAATTTATAGACAGAGGTAAAAGGAACCCAAAACATCATCCTGAGGTACAAACACTGTAAGGTCAGACAGAGGAAGAGCCAGCAGGGGAATCTGAGACAGACAGTGAGAGGAGAACATTGAAAATGTGATGTCTCAGAAGCCAAGAGAAGGAAGGATGCCTAAAGAGGGAGTCATTAAGCATAACAAAATAAGTTCTTCTTGCCAGGTAACTTACATGCATTTTCACTGGGCAGACAGTGTCTTAGCTCTAGGCCAACAGGTTTCCTCTCAACTGCCATCTCACATCATTGGCAGTGGCTCCCTAGAGTTCTCTGATGAAAAGGATCCCAGTGCCTTGCCTGAGCTTGGCAGGAAAGCCAGCTATGATCAGTTGGTGATGCCTATGTGAAAAGTTGGGCAAGAGTTCTTGTGTTCTATGACCCTGTCTAACCCAATGGGAAGACATGAGTTACGGTCATTTCAGGGGCTTTGGTAGGTTACAAGGAGTTAAACTGTGGCTAAGGCAGCCCATCAAATCACATTCTCAGAGCTGAATCCATCTTCATGGATCCACTGCCCTACCCTGCAGTGAATACAGGATTAGATGCAGGACTGCCTCTGGAAGAAGCAGATACAAAGAGACAGAGACAAAACGGGGCTATAATTTAAGCAAACACCAATGAGGCATCAAGGTTTTGGAGTCTAACATCTAGATTCAACTCTCAACTCTGCCACTTACTATGAGGATGTGGATAAGTTTATCCAACTGTCCTTAGTCTCATTTCTTTACGTGCTGAGTGATATTAATGGAATTGTGAAGCCAAAGAAACTTGAGAGGCTAAGACTCCCAGGAACTCTGAAGATCTATTTCTTGAGGCTTCAGGATAACTCTTGGGACCTGTTTCTTGAGGTCCAGGGTGACCTGAAAGCCATAGATACGTGAGGGTAAGACTCCTGGGAACTCTAAAAATCTATTTCTTGAGGGTTCAGGATAACTCTTGGTATGTGTTTCTTGAGGATCCAGGGTGACACCTTTAATTTAGTATACTATGACATAGGTCTTTACCTCTAAGGCTGTAACATCCTCTTTATGGAGTGTCTTAACCATGATAAGTTATTAATGATCAAATAAATTTGCAGAGCAATGGTACTGATTTTGTGCTGCTGAGCCACTGTATAATCAGAATTGGTTGAGTGGCAATTGCATATTAAAGGTTTAACAAGTTACAACAACAAAATGTATGTAACTACAATTTTTCCATACTCCCAGCTCTTGAGGAACATACCATGTGGTCACAGCCCAGCTATCGGATCTTTGTTGAACAGATGAGAGTAATGAATAGGAAGGCTTAGTTGAAGGAAGTAAGCAAGGGAAAAGTAGATTTCTCTGCACAAGTAAGCATATGGGTCAAACTACTTGGGGATAAAACTATTTAGGAAGCTGGAGGAAGAGATTAAGGAGAAGGAGAAAGTGAAAGATGTGGTAAGTATGAGCTGAACTTCTTGAAGATAGGAGAGAAAATTGAAGAACTATCATGAAGAAAGGGACTTTAGGAAAACAGATATGTGTCTATAAAGCTCTTTAAGGAAATTGCTATGTTGTATAGTGTAAATCTTCCTTGTTACCTCTTGAAAAGACATTCCATAAAATATGTACATTGCTTTTGTTTTGTTTTCTCTGGGGGAGTTTTTTGGGTTTTGCTTTTGGTTTTTGTTTGTTTGTTTTTTGTAAGACAGGGTTGTATTCTGTCACCTAGGCAAGAGTGAAGTGAAATGATCATAGCTCACTGTAGCCTCAGACTCCTGGGCTCAAGCCATCCTCCCGCCTCAGCCTCTGGAGTAGCTGAGACTACCACGTGGTGGTGCACACACCACATGCCCACCTAAGTATTATTATCATTATGATTATTTGCAGAGATAGGGGCTTGCTTTGTTGCCCAAGCTGACCTTGAACTCTTGGTCTTAAGCCATCCTGCCACCTTGGCCTCCCAAAGTGTTGGGGTTACAGGCATGAGCCAGGGCACCCATTCATACATTGCTATTCAAGACACTTCGGAGTGTGTGCATGTGTGTGTAATAGCTTTGTGCTAAGGCTAGCCTCAAGGTGGCCCTGTTTTATTTGGGTTACATTGGCAACAAAGCGCCTTTATACTCATCTTCTAATTTGACCACCATGTTACATACCTGTGATAAAACCTCAACAGATTTTAGTTTATTGTCCATCCAAAAAAGGAGAGTCTTGACCTGTGTTATTGAGTTAACAAAGAGCAGAGCTGTAAGGAAAATCTGTCTTCTGACTCTCAGGCTAGTGTGCTTTTTCTTCCCTCTCTCTCTCTCTCTCTCTCCCTCCCATTCCTTCTTTCCTTCTCTCTTTCCCTTTCTCTTGTTCCTCCTCCTCTCCCACCACCCTCTTCTCTCTGTCAGTATATTGATGTTAGCGATGAACACATGCATAAGACATTCCCTAACCCGCCTTCAAGCTTTTATTTGAAAGGTTTGTAGTCCAAAGCAGTGTCTGCCAGCAAACAAGAAGGCCTGTGTGTGGTGTTAAAAATGTGAAGACCCCAGAGGACTTATATTTTCAGCTTTTAGAGCAAAGGCCCATGAGTAGCAGCCCGTATGGTGGTATATGGATCCCGGCACTTTGCCTCCCGCATGCCAAGGATCCAGACTGCATTGGGATTTGAGAACTCGCCTGGGCCAAGCAGAGTTTCTAATAACCAGGAGGCAGGAGGCCG